TCCAAGTATGGACACAAGTTATACCGTAAAAACATTGGCAGCCACAACAATCTACTGACGAGTCGGAGGCAGCAGCAGCTGTAGCGGCAGCAGTGGAGTGCACAACTCGCTGTGGAGTGTTCCACCAGCCCAACACCACCCCTGCGTTCACACCGCAAGCTCAAACCAAATGCAGGCAAGCGCCTGCCATCTGCGAACGTCATGACCTGCCGCGCCTGCAAGTCGTATATCTTTATATGGTGGCGCACCAACATCAGTGGGGTAACGTTCCATTATTTTAATTGCTGAAGCCACGTCGCCACGAGGGCAATATCGTGCCCCTCCAGTATTTTTTTATGATTACACCAGGGCCATTGCACCCATATAGCAGAGTTAAAAGTTGATTTGATACCACAATTATATGCCACGTTACTGTTCCTGTCCCCTCATTTTCTTGAAAGAAAATATTTTATATCAAAGAACAGGTATTGTAATTAGGGCATTACCCTGAAATATTCAAAGGTTCAGAATCAAGAGAGTGGAACTCTTTGTATAAAGGGACACCCTAAAGGAACAAGTACACAATGTGTATAATCACCACACATGGACTATTACTTTGGGGGCTGTATGACAGCTTCAATGTTGTCAACGAGAAAAGTGCATTTTCCTGAGTTAAATCCTAGCATGTGAGGGACCCCCCCCCCCCCATTTTTAACATAGTACTATCATACCCAGGCAAGAAAAATTGACGTTAATGGATAAGTATTTGAGTGGAAATTGAAAAAAAGTCATATATACAGTCATACCTCGGTATACGACCGCTTTGGAATACGTCGAATTTGGTATACGTCGCGTTTTGACGAGAAAAAAATGTCTTGGGATACGACGTCTTGCTTGGGATACGAGGCGCTTGCTAGAACTTGTATGGGTCGGGATGAGTCACCGCGTACCCGCGTAGACCCCGTTCACGACTGAGACAAAGCGCCACTCCTCAGTCTGCCTGTAGATCTCGTTCAGTGCACGACCCTTGCTAGAACTCGTAGGCTATCAACTCCTCTCAGCAAGGTAAAGTGACGTTAAATTTTATGTTTATTTTAATTTATTTACGCATTCATTTTAATTTATTTATGCATTTTAGTACTAAGTAGTGTCTACATTATATTATACAACCACATTAACGTATAATATGCCGTATAAAATATTATTTCCTATACTCTGGAACGAATTATTTCCTTTCCCTTTATTTCTGATGGGAAGAATTCGTTTGGTAGACGTCACTTCCGGTATAAGTCCTCCTACAGGGGCTGTGTCCGCTCAGCCGGGAGCTGGGACTCGCGCTGCCAAACAGTTTTACATTGCAGCAAATTCATCAGTTTTGCTGCATGGACGGATCTCACCATTGTGATGAGGAAAAAGATTGTGCACTTGTTTTTTTAGGTTTTCCCTTCCTTTAAACAATAAAGTGTACAACATTTACCATGCATTACCCATATCGTTTACATGGCAACAATAAAGTTCCAAGGCACAATACAATTACGTATGTTCACAACAAGTAGACATTACTACATGTACATCATTAGACCTCCTTTGCCAGTACCAAAATATAATAATAGGGTTTTTCCCCTTTTTTTCTGGCAACAAAACTGAAACCTTTTTACAAGGATTCATGTCTGCATTAACCACAGTACCTGCGGTCAAAATGCAAACAAAAAACATACTATGATAATATATGCATTGTCCTTGAAACTGATTGGTCCACACCAATGACAGAACTGAGTCATTGGTCGAGGCTCAAAAGAAAGCCGTCCCTTGGTGTGGCCCAATCAGTTTCAAGGACAATGCATATATTTTCTTTGGTTCTTTCGGTAAAGTCACGTAGAATGAGAATAAAATAATAAATTGATAAAATAAAATAACACAATAATATTCTCACGACGTTTCGGCCACAACAAAAGCGGCCTTCATCAGGTGAAGGGGACGAGACTGTCTGGAGGACAGCGCTGGAGTGAGAAAGCCACGCTGAGATCACGACCTTTAAGCTGTGTGAGAAGAAACAAAGCGCCTTGACAAAGGAATTAGCATATAATTTAGCATTGAAATGGCTGAGTGATTAGCTTGCGACTGGTCACAGAAAAGGCTATGTCAAAGTTAAAGCATACACATCCGCAAAGGCACCCCTGGACAAGGGAATTAGCATAGAATTTAGCATTGAAATAGCTAAGTTAAAGTATACACATCTGCAGAGGCACCCCTTGACAAAGGAATTAGCATAGAATTTAGCACCTTAAGATCATTCAACAGACTCCAGGATAAGAAGGCTCAACTAATCGAGTCTCTCACCTTTCTGAAGAGATGCCACGACTCTAAGCTATCCATGTTGCTAAAGTTGAGGGTAAGAATCCACCCATTTTTCGCCATATAGCATTGTGATATATAACAACTTATTGTTGGTAGCTTAGCTGATTGGAGAATATAGAGTTTATTGATAACATTGAGGTAATTTATATTTTAGTTTTTTTTTTATTGGTTCACTATATAGTATTCATTATATATTGTATTGTATACCCAGTTACTGTGAATAGCTCAGATGTGTAGGCCTTGACTTCAACATAGCCATTTCTGTGACCAGTCACAAGCTAATCACTCAGTTATTTCAATGCTAAATTCGCCTAGTTATTTCAATGCTAAATTCTCCTGTTTGATTTGTACTAGGTGCCTCGGTGAATGTATATGCTCTGACTTTAACATAGCTATTTCTGTGACCAGTTACAAGCTAATCACTCAGCTATTTCAATGCTAAATTCTTTGCTAATTCCTTTGTCAAGGGGTGCCTCTGCGGATGTGTATACTTTAACTTAGCTATTTCAATGCTAAATTCTATGCTAATTCCTTTGTCAAGGGGTGCCTTTGCGGATGTGTATGCTTTAACTTTAACATAGCCTTTTCTGTGACCAGTCACAAGCTAATCACTCAGCCATTTCAATGCTAAATTACATGCTAATTCCTTTGTCAAGGCACTTTGTTTCTTCTCACACAGCTTAAAGGTCGTGATCTCAGCGTGGCTTTCTCACTCCAGCGCTGTCCTCCAGACAGTCTCGTCCCCTTCACCTGATGAAGGCCGCTTTTGTTGTGGCCGAAACGTCGTGAGAATATTATTGTGTTATTTTATTTTATCAATTTATTATTTTATTCTCATTCTACGTGACTTTACCGAAAGAACCAAAGAAGATGAATCCTTGCAGTCACGAAAGCTTTAAATCGAAATGCATATATTATCACAGTATGTTTTTTGTTTGCATTTTGACTGCAGGTATTGTGGTTAATGCAGAAATGAATCCTTGTAAAAAGGTTTCAGTTTTGTTGCCAGAAAAAAAGTGGAAAAACCCTATTATTATTACTACATGTGTTCGTTGCAATAATCAATTGCCGTTTTTGTTGCGTTACTTTAACTGCTTAAAAAATGATGCGTCATCAAACAGCACTCAAACCAATCTGTACCGACCCTGCCGATGACTAAACCGTGCAATAAAGGAAAGTGCAAGAAGAACACCACACACCCAAGCCTTATGCATTTAGAATATGTTTTACACTAACTGCACTTAACTCCAAAATGCTATTACAAAAGTCCTACCCATGACTATGTTTTCAGTTCTGTCATTGGTAACAAAAGTATTTTCACAATGCTTTGAGAACGTCAGTTTTTTGTTTAAAGATAATCTCAAACATCAAATACACTACGCTGGTTGAAAATTGCGGGCCACATTATTGGAGGTAAGCCTACAGTGTCTACACCACTACGAACTGAATTATATTCATTTCATGAAGAAAAACAACTGATGTCACAAATATTTTTCTTCAACCTTATTGTTTGAACTTATATTGGACAGAAATCTGAATAACTTTTTGCTTGAAATAACATAAATGACATATCAACTACACACTAATTCAAAGAGAATCAATGACTTGCATATCACAGCAAGACTCATTGTTGTGTAACAGGTGATAATGTAAACCGGAATGGTGGGTAACTGGCTCAAATTGACTACACTGCCGTATGCAGACACTACTCAAGAGTACAGTCACTCGACCATGCGGACGAAGGGATGATATCTTGGGATGCAGTCAAGGCAAGAGCGCCCATCGGTTACAAGACCCATGATGCACGGCAGTCAGTAAGGTGTGACTCGGCTTGGATCGGCTTAACTTGGACACGTGGGGAAGTGAATTATGACTCACAGTGGTATAGTTATAACCTTGTTCGTAACTGGTGGGACAAGCACGTGTGGAGCGGGAATGACTCATCTCAACTGCAGGTGATGAATTACTTTCTTACCATTAGTAAATGTTGCATGCTTTTGAAATCAAGCTGCTGATTGTCTGAAACCGTGTGCAGAGTTCTGATTTGGAGCAATTAGGTAGGCAGCCAGGTAAAATGGCTGAGAGTGGGGTTGCTCTTGCATTGCCGAGGAATGGCTATAGGCTGTCTATAAAAGGCAAACTCAGCACAGAGAAGGCAAAGGCGATATCAGCAACAGCACAGTGGTGGTGAGCTGCACTACCAGCAGTAAGGACGAACAGAGTTGACTCAACAGCCCACTGCCAAACTTTACGCTAGTTGTAATTACTGGCGAAACGTCGTACTCAGATTGTAAATGTTGTGGCTTGGCTCTCCAACACACCGGTGTGCTGTACTAGTGACGAATTGGCCACGTTCTGTTTACGTGACAACCCTTACTAGTCGGCTGTGTCGGGTGGTGGCAGGTTTTAATGACACATTTATATATTTACCCGATCTAACCCAAAAAACCTCTTATGAATAAGTGGAAGTTTCGATTTAAAGCTTTCGTGACTGCAAGAATTCATCTTCTGGATTCTTTCGGTAAAGTCATGTAGAATGGGAATAAAATAATAAAATAAAATAAGACAATAAAATTCTCACGACGTTTCGGCCACAACACAAGTGGCCTTCAGGTGAAGAGACAGGTCTGTCCGGAAGACAGAGCTTGAATGAACGCTGTCATGCAAGGACCGCGTCGATTAAGCTGTGTGGGCGGAGTTAAAATATGAATTTGCATGTTACCAGCATCACCTCCGGAGAGGAGGGGGCTGGGAACACAGGCAGAGAGGAAAAAAGAAAAGGGGCAAGTGCAACAGCCAGGGTGCGCTGTTGTGTCCTTAGTTGCCTTATGACTATGCTGTAAACTGGACTACTATATAATACAATATTATACCTTCCAATCTCAACTACATGGTATAACATCATATCATAGACAAATTCCACCTTAGAATTATACAATGCATTACTTTAAATAATACAATGCGTTACTTTACACTAGTGTCTGTCTCTTCACCTGAAGAAGGCCACTTGTGTTGTGGCCGAAACGTCGTGAGAATTTTATTGTCTTATTTTATTCCCATTCTACATGACTTTACCGAAAGAACCAAGAAGAAAAAAACAAGTGGGAGTTTTGTGGTGTATGGGTTCTGGTTGTTGGGAAGTCGTGGGCCCTCAGGCTCCATGCTGATCTTCAGAACCCGAAAATATAACAAAGGGCAGAGTAAAATCACAAGTGTGTGAAACCACAGTGTAATCCCAATTATATTGGCGGATAGTCGGGATTTCCCATATTCGGTAGGCTTTAATCCAAGCAGCCTGGGTGCCTAGCAATCACTGAGGCAACCTCATTTCAAAGTGTCTTAGTTTGAGAATGCGCGGGGGCATAGGCATGAGTGTGCCCTGGGTTGTCTATTTTTCATAAGTTTTTAGATAAATTGCATGTTTCTGCTTCACTTTACAAAACTGCACTACCTGGTGGAAACCCTTATGGTGGCCTGCTGCAAGATAAAGACAACCCATCCTCACGGAGTGTCTCACAAGTGAGAGCTAGTCCGGCGCACATTCAACTCCACCCATCACACGGTCATCACGTGACAATAGTGATGCCTGTTCTTAGCAAAACATGAACACCAAATGTTCCGTGTGACCTAATTAGCTGACAGATGCAATGTAATTTTGTGATTAATGACATCTCCATGTGAATAAAACATGGCAAGTACGAACATGTTCACGAAGGAAGGCTTGTAAAGAATGGAGTTGGGCTCATAACTGCGGACAATGCTGACAGCAAATCCAGCACAGCACCTCGGGTGTACCTTTCAATTGGACGTTTCGCCTGCATCAGATTTATACCCAGCCATAAGGGAGTTTTTACTCAAGTTTCTGAATGTTGGGTTAATGCTGTCATACAGCCTATCAGGCACTTCCCATCCAGCCGTTCATCAGGTCATCCTCGAGGCCCACACGTTTCAAAGTGTCCCTTTTTGCGATTTCACCACGTAACATGATTTCTTCAGTACATGTCCTTAAATATTTCTTGCAGAAGGGGCGGCAAGGCAGTGTCCGCTTCGGTTTTGCGGATATTGTGCACCATTTGCGCGTGCTCTGTTACCAGTTGCCGAAGGTCCGAGAGTTTCTGCAGGAGTTTGGGGAAGAGGAAGGGGCTCTCGGGGTGCGTTTTTCTCAGTTGAAGGTCCAGTGCCTGTAAAATGCGGTCCTGGATGCGCTCCACCGGATTCACATTAATCAGGCCAGGGCGGTCTGCCAAAACACAAGAGTAGGCGTGGTCATTTTTATGCGACGTGAAAAGTAACATGAACCTCAAGAGGATTTAGGATTATGCATTGCTTTTATTGTGCTTGTTTACCCTGGGAGGCCTCACAACCCATGGGCAAGAATTCATAAATGATTCCACATATACGCAAAAAACGAATTCACTGTCAATAATTATCTCTGGCAGGTGAAGGGGGATGTGAACATTTAAATGAGAAGTAAGGAAAGTCTTGATCACCTGGGTGAGGAGGGATGAAGCAGTTACAGTGGTATTGTTTGCAATGTTTATAAGGTGTGAGAGGCTACTTGAACAAGGGAGATGATTTGCATCACCTATTGGATTGACTATGATTAATGCGTGCATGATTGTGTCTGTGCATACAAATACCACGTGCGCTTGTCTAAGCTCGTGATTGATAAATCACCTATGAACAGTTTTATAAAAGCATACAGTATACACAAGCTTCATGCATACATACACTGTTGCATTTTCACATGTATACACGCCCACTCTACGTCGATGTGTAGCAGGCGCGGCCCATGCTCGCTCGTGGGTAGCATTTGCAAGCAGCGCCAGTCGGATGAAATGTGTGCGTGTATTTGGTGAGTACACACATGAAGGACCGGAGAGAACTGTATGAACAGGAATATCGGTATAAGGGTGTCAACAAATATAAGGCACCCAACGTGTACGTGAAAAACACACCCCAAGGACATTCAAGGTCAAACCACACATTTGGTGATTCAATCCTTTGCAGTTGGTTATCCGACATTGTTTGTTTGGTAATTGATACAACACACCCAACAAAATGAGAACATCAGCAGAAAAGCAGCGGACAAACTCCATGACCCCCACCAGCCCATCCCCAACCACACGCCGTGAAAAACACATGCGCATGCTCTTTCCTGTGGTTGCATAACTTACTGTAAAACTTTCAATCTAATTTTTTTTCTACAAAGGAATGGGATGAGCACATGCTCAAGCCATGAAAGAACACGTAAAATGTAATTTAGTGAAGGCATAAAAATATATATATTTATATGTTTAACGCGTAGTTTAAAAGTATAATAGGGAATAAATCTTCATAATAAATATATAGTATGGATGTATGTTGTACTTCTTTTGCACCGTTCGTAGGCAACCATTCTAATCGGAGGTACGGGAGTAATAACAGGTTGCGAGTAATTATTTAAATTTGAAAGGCTAGAAAGCTGAAATGTCACAAGTATTGTTGAGTCTAGGCTTTTAACTAGAAATATATGAAGATACATATGTATTTTGAACACCACAACAATGGGGACAAATTATTAAATGTTTTACATTTTGAAACTAGGCATTATGAAAGTGGAGATTTTGAAGGGTGCCAAGTGCAAATGATACAATACATTTCATAAACTCAATTAATGTTAGGTTTGTTTCTGAACTTGTGATGCTGAAGGTAATAAGAATGGGCAAATCATACCGAGTGGTAGGACCCTTTTTCTTGAGGGTCCTGCTACAATGGATTTTGATTTTAAGATGTTTTAGTGAATTTCTGATGAGTGTTCATACATTACACGTTTTAAAAGGGATGCTCCTATAGCAAGCCCAATCCCAATGCTATTTCACTCCATACAGTGGATTTCAACGAGTCTAAAATTAAGGAGACATTCAACTAGAGCAATGTTCTTCATTGCAAGGCCCGCGGGCCACTTGGCAGCCCCTGGTGGCCTTTAGTCCAGCCCCTGACGTGCGGCCCAACAATACACAAATGTGAAAATGCCCCCATTGTGCTGTCAAACCCCAATAGTTTCAAATGTGTGGTGGGGCCTTCACGCGGATGATGTCTTATCGGTGAAAGTGCACCCCACCCCCCCCTCTAGAAATGAGTGAAGAGCACTCGAAATTAAGAGCTACACTGTGTGGCAGCGAGCACATGCACACTTCCTCACCTCCACACAAAATGATGGCGGCCATGTACAGGGCGAGGTCCGTATCGTCGAGTGACAGTGCGTTGAAACGTATGGAGAACTCAAACTTGGGCTCCATGATGTGACAGAAGGGGGAGCGGAGGGAGCGCAGGAATTCACGCGTGATGAACGCCGAGCCGTAAGCGATCAGAAGTCCGTCCTTGTTGATCTGAGCCGCCAACATCGCGAATATCACCTCGTACACACCGTACTGGCACAGGGGAACGCGGAGTCAGAGGACTCTTGTTAAGGATCCTAAGATGGACATATACTGCCAAAATACATTCACCGCAATCAACACAAATATGCAAGTGTACTCTTCACAATATTACTCTGATTTAAAAAAATACCCAAAAATATCAGTAATTACCTGCCAATACTGACATGAAAGCTAATGGACATAACAGAGATTTGACTAATTGCAACAATCATATGTATTCCAGTTGAGAAGTTAGATGGTGATAAAATCCAATAAATCGCAATTGAAATAGATGTGGTCCCACGTGACTTTTATTCCATATTGCCAGCAGTTAAATGGCTCAATAAATGTGTAGCTGTATTGTCTGTGAATGTGGCATAGATACTACAACTATAATACCCACCACCAATGCTTAATCTTTGCCAATTCACTAGTAGTCATAAAAAGCTACAAAATCGAAAACTACCAACTTTCTGCAAAGGTGTAGAAGGCTGCTTTTCCAAAGAAGCAAATTTGCTGATGATAATCGTCAGATCATGAGAGAAAAGTCACAGTCCATGTTTACAAAGTGTAACGGTGTTCAGGTGACGTCCACAATGCGACACGTACACCAAGTTATATTCTTGGTTCTTTCACATAGATAGAAAATATAATAAAAATACTAAAATGAAAAGAATAAATTGAAAATAATAAAAGCAAAAAACCCACGGTTTTTTTTCTCTCCGCCTGATGAAGACCGCTTGTGTTGCGATCGAAACGTCGTGGGTTTTTTGCTTTAATTATTTTAATTTTATTTTCTATCTACGTGACTTTACCGAAAGAACCAAGAATATGAATTCCTGCAGTCACGAAAGTTTTAAGTCAAAATCTGTACACCAAGTTACTCATGTGCCACATTCACCACTGCAAACCACACTCGTCGTGGCTGAGTTCACCAACGTATGAATAATGCAAATCAGGATTGACACAGAGATAGAGCAATGACATCGGTTCATGTACAGGCAAAAGATTGTGGCACCGCAAAAGCCACGCGGAAGGGTGATAGCATGCGAAAGCCTTCATCAAGCAGTGTCTAGGCAATGGCTGATAATATTGATGAATACGTATTTTGTGTAAATCTCTATGATGGCCTACAGGCTGACATGGCAGTACAGCTTTTGCCCATTCACTGACCAATAACGCACTCAGAATCACACGACAAAGTATTTTGTTCGTGATGGCGAGCGGTGGAGTAGATATTCGCACATTGCGCGATGATCCCAGCAACCCGAGTTTGATTCTTGGCCACAGCGAACACTAGTGGGGAGTTATTTTGGACCCTATCTAGGGCACTCCTTTTAACCAACCCCGCACTACGTCTATATAAGTATACATACATTACACAAAATTCTTCCAAAAGCATGCTTCTATCTGGTATGTACAGTACAGTACTTTATGTACGTTACATTTCCAGAATAATGGGTTTAGAAAAATTTGCACCTCTTGGCATCACAATACCTAATATGAAGGATCGGATTTTTGCTGAATATACTTTTTACTTGTTAACCATTACTTAGGTATGTATAGCTACAATGGAATGTTTCAAAATGTGTTAAAAATGTTTGATGTAAATTTCATGAACACGATTTTGCATATGTTCAATTGTCGTTTTCAAATAAAAGGCTTTTATTATTCTTAGCTCCAGAACGTACAACTGCGTGTGCCCTTTTGGCTTTACACGCATTTTAAAAACATACCTTGAGCAGAGTGACTTGGTCATTTAAATCAAGGATCATGAAACCGGGGATGCTCTTGGCAAACTCCGTGACCTCTCGGACAGCCTCCACCAACCGGTAATGACAGCGGTTAAAAATCCTGATCTCCGCCGCTCCTCTTGGAGGAGTAACCTCCTGGTCACCAGACCTATTGCCTTCCGCATCGGCTGCGAGTTCGGTATCGGTGACGCTATTGGCGGTGATGAAGACGCAGTCCGTGCCCAGCACCCGCCCGCGTGTGGTGCTGTCGCAGGGGCCGCCTCTTCCGTCACAGATCGTCCCTCCGCAGGCGCCGCCGCAACCTCCACCCACACTCGCAATATTCACACCAATGCTGCCGTGATTGTGGATTGTGCCGTAACCCGACTTCTGGAGGATTGTGTCTTCAGCCTGAGCCAGAGATTCGTGGTCATGGATCACCACCTGCTCAAAGACAGACAAGCTATATTAACATAGTGGCAAATCTTAGTGCAATCTTCAGAAATAAATGTGCAAATACAGTGCAATATACTAAGGCTGTTGAGAGCATTTCAGAAGCTCGCACTATAACTTTCACAGTCTCTGGAATGCAGCCTCTATTTAGCAGCTTAAGAGATTAGTGTCAATACAGAATTAAACCGAGTGCTGTGACAGTAGAGCAACATGGAAATTGTTTAACAGTTTTACCTTTATTAGGCATAAGCAGAACTGTATAGGCCTCGTTGCTGCATTTAGAGTAAGCATTCATTGATTCAACCCCCATGCATCTCTGCACAGCAATAGCCATGATTCGAATACGCTTTTATTTTCTCCTTTTAAATGTTTCTGTACGTTTATGCCTCATTTTCTGTCTAACGTTAAGCTCGTATATCATGAGCCTAAGAGTTGCTTTAAACAAATGAATAATTGAATTCCTAATCTGAGACAAAACTGTTCATCACTGCCAAAAAAAACTAAAAGGTTTAAAAAAAAGTCTTAGCTTACAAGCAAGATTCATTTTCAGGAGGAAGATTTATTTTGAAATAGAAAATGTTAATTACTTTGGCAGATGTGCACCCATCACTGAATGTTAAGACATTTATGGTGACTCAGGATGGGAGAACACAAATTAATCACAAACACATCGAGGAAACCAAATGTAGACATAGATATTCTGTGAACAATGCTTGAATATTATGCAGCATGCAATGTGACAAAGTACTTTATATTCAGGTTGTGCCAAATGTATATAAAAAAACATATTTGACAGCTCTATACATAATGTAAATATCAATAAATGGGATGATATCAGTGTCTTTCAGTAGGAATAAAAAAGCTAAATTTCACATCTGACAGCTTCATAATATTCATAATGAGTTAAATGATGACGTCACCCTGCTGCTCTATTTAAGACCGGGAGCAAGTGAGGGCTTTACCATTCTGGCGAATTGCCTGATGATGCTGGATGTAATTACAAGCGAAACGTCATACTCAAACTGTAAATGTTGTGGATTTATTCTTCAACACACCGGTGGGCTAAAGTAGTTAACTAATTGTCTTTTGTCAACGTGACACTTTTTTGCTGATTGGCCGTGTCGGGTGGTGGAGGGTTACGACACATTTAAAAATAACGCGATCTAACCCAAAAACCTTTATTATGAATAATATTGGTCGAAAGCCTATGTGTTAATCTGACAGCTCCTTGAAATGTAGCCTATGCTTTGAAACATATTTCAAGAGTGCTGTGAGAGTTTGCATTGATACAATTATATCAACACATAAACCTAATCATGTGGATAATGCAATTGGTGGCTATTCTGTTAATATTCTAGGAATTTTGAAACACCTGTAATTGCATCCAATTTCCCAGTCTAAATCCAGCAGTGATATTATTTACACGTTTTAACTATGGGTTAAACCCAAACAACGACACGTTTCCATAAAGAATATGGTAAGAACGTGTTTAAACATAGTTTATATCATACGGTAAATTATTTTCTGAAAGAACACAAACATATTATTGAATTGTGCGTCATACTTACAGCGTTATTTTGTACTTTTCCAGCTAAAATCGCCTGAGCCTTGGCCTTGGACAGTGGGAATATGCGGAGGTAGGCCTCTTGTACGAGGCGAGCCAGAGAACGGAGGTCGCTCACAGCCATCCCCATCCCCTCGCCCGCCAAGCTGCTCCCATCTTGGCAGCCTCCGCACACAGACACACTTGCCACAGCGGTGGTTTTGGTCGCAGAGCCTGCGGTAAGGTCTGGTCGTAGGCTGCCCCCACACACCTCGGCAATCAGACGCTTCTTTTCTGCCTGAGGCATGCGCCCAAATCGGATTGCTACAAACACACACACACACAGACAAGCCACAAATGAGACACCTATGGCTAAGCTACTAATGCACTCTCTCAAAAGAGTGCAAGCAATATTATAACAATGTTATCATCCAAACACAAAATATTTACGAGTCATAACAGCTAACAGATACTGATGATCACTCAAGAAATGCTCTCATCCAGTCAGAGCACCTACAGCCAACGACAACACAATTCCCAAATGTGGTCTCACAAGTCCCCCAAAATTATGTATTTGGAGCTCCCTTCAGTCACAAATTGGCCCAACAGATGATTCCAGGTGATGCACCTGCTGATAAGAGACAGCCTTCCCAAAGTGTTACGAATCGGCTCTGGCCTCTGTACAATCAGGCAACCGGTCTGCGGGACACCGCTTCACTGCAGTACCCTCACAACCCGTAGGGCTACCATGGGAGGACGCACGCTGACTACAGCCATGGCAGACAAAATACTCGATGAAATACCGGCTGACCTCAACCAGGTATAAAGACAAGGTGGTTGCCCCATTCAGAATTCCTATAGTGCGAAGTGGTGGAACTTCCACGCAATGGCGGAGCCAGGATTTTCAGGTAGGTGGGGGGGGCAACCCCTCCAGCAATGAAAAATGATAGAGTTGTTAGTAAGTAAGGACTTGTCCCTTGCTTTTTATTTGACGCGTGTGTGGCGATGGCGCAAGCCATCGATCGAGGGTCGAATTCTAACCGCGTTGTGTGATCGGCATCGCGCTCGCTGAAGGTGAATGTCTTCTGGGAAGTCGTGTACTGTATACGCAACTGCGCACAATTCCGTGAGTCACTTATAACTGCTTTGCCGTTATTTATTGCCAATTATGGACTCCCTATCATCTCATAGAGTCTCTGGCACGTAATAATATGCTACACAGTGGCAGTGGGGGTCGCAAAATGCCAATTTATTACTAATAAACCCCAATGATCCGATCGGAATTATGGATTTGGATCGGATCATTGGGGGGGCACGTACCACCCCACCCCCTCCCACTGGCTCCGCCAGTGCTTCCACGGGTGGCCTTTAAAGGCAACGATGTGAAGGTGTTTAAATACACCGACCACGATGAAATTACCTATTTATACGTGCTTTAGGCCCTATGTAAATGTGGCTGGGAATATCTACCTTCGTGCGACATTCCGACACCCAGGCACTTCTGAAAGCGGCAGTGCTGACACTTGTTGCGACTTTTCTTCTGGATTTTGCAGCGTTGGTCACACTTCTCATACTCCAGCTTCATCCTAATTGTTCTTCTGAAAAAACCCTGTGGAAAGATGGGAAGGTGTGAATACAGGTAACTGAGAGTCAGTGGGCCCAAGAGGGCACAGAGAAATCATACAAGCAGTGATCTCGTTTTATCAAGGTGGTAGCTTGGTGCCAAAGGTTACAGTTCAAGATTCTACATCTTCTGCTGAATTACAATGCATCACAGTGACCAAATATATATATTTTTGCTAAATACATTTCAGCTATACTATTGACACTGTGGTTTAAGATTTTCATATGGAGTTAATAGTGTCCCACCATGTCAGCAAATGACCCTGGAAGAGGACATTATAATAACTACTACACTTAGTACACTTAGTTACTACTACAGTAGGCCTCTTTATTTACACCCAGAACATAAAGTAGTAAAAACATATTTTGAGAGGTAGCCACATGTGGTACATCAGCTGGATATTCTGTAATTCATGCATTACAGGTGCGTTATATCGGATGGTGTACATGTACTTTGCGAGAGTTAAGGATGATACGTTGCTCTGTTGCCAATCTCGGTGAATTTGAACAAGGACCTACCTTGCATCCCTCGCAGGCGTGCACTCCGTAATGGAAGCCCGAGGCCCGGTCCCCACAAACCCGACACTCGATGGGAAGCAGCACTGAGCCCAGGCCATTAGCAGCTCCCTCCTCCATGAGACATGTTCTTTTTAGACCAAATCCTGACCCCTCCTGCCCAACTGCATTTGGGCCCAAGCCATTGCTGCTTATTTCACCATCACCAGCATCCGGATCTACCCCCTGACTGGGTTTACATGGCGAATCAACCGGGGTAGAGAAGGAGACAGAATCTGAGCCAAGAGATTCTGGAAAACAAAAAACAATCAATTACATTTTAAGAGACAGTCAATACTAGTTACTAACCACTGCAGAAAGCAATGTGGGTGGCAACTATTAATTTATAATATTGGAGTAAAATGAATAAGTACATAATACTTGTGTATATATACAAACAATAACAAACAATAACTATTGAAGAACCTTTATTCGAGTTCACTGGTAACAGCACGAATATAACGAACTTATATAGGGTATACAATCAAGCTCAGTGATAACATTGCCGTTGATAATTAAATAGTTACATTACTTTTCATATTGGTTAGGATGCTAGATATGTGGATCACGAGTAAAACCTCATTGTGTCAGCTGCCAACTCCATGCAAGGACTTAAGCCTGGTTTTTGTTGAAGAGTGAGAAAGGAATTCAGCAAAAAGAGAACAGGGCCTTACCTGTGCACACAGATTCTCCCAGGCTGCAGGCAGGACTCACTGGAGCCACGTCCCCTGGTGACACATCCATATTGGGCAGGCCCAGTGGCCCACCCAGGCCTGAAATACACATGTGCGTAACTAATACACACTTAGGAAAAACTGCATGCACCTTACGCCAAAACAAATGCACAATGTTAAGTTGCGTTTCAAAAAAGGCTTTAGAACAGACATGGGCAAAGTACAGCCCCCGGGCCGTATACGGCCCGTTGGGCTTTTTAATCCGGCCCGCCGAACTTGTACAAATATTATTATTAAATTAAATTTTACCTTTCTCCTGTAATGCCACCATTTCCCCATTAGTTGGCGCACTTTGACCGGGAGTTACGACATGTTTTTGTATTGTTCATGTTCGTGCAATTTGTTATATTGCCTTGCAAATAAATGCTTTGCTACTTGTTAAAGGCCAAATCCTTTCATGTAATGATTTTTACATGCCATTTATATTAGTTCACACAAACACTCCATCCATCTGTTCCTGGCCCGGCCCCTCTGTCAAATTTTAGAATCCATTGTGGCCCACGAGTCAAAAAATTTGCCCACCCCTGCTTTAGAAAGAGACACTTGAATAGCTTATGGAAACATGCAGCACAGTAATTCATTCAGTGACACTTATATAATTTAACGTTTTTTAAAAAAAATGTGTAACTTATTAACTTACCGGTCTACAGTTAATTTGCAAACATAATGCATGAAAATGTGAATATAACAGCTTTATCTATTAGACAACACCAGAGAGCATTTCATCGGTGTTTACTACTAGAGTACTTGCTATGACATACAGATCAGGAATATTGGCAGACAAATAAAATTAAACAAAAGCTGAAACGTATGAGGATGGATGGTAAACGGTTATAACTACACCGAAAGACAGAACTACATATGGATGAGGAAACATACAAAAGTGATATATGAATATCATAGTATCTGACAAGAAATTGTAAGTGGATTTCAGCAGGACAAGTCAATAAGAAGGGATAATGGTCAGTGGTCAAGGTTAAGGACCAAGTGGCAGCCAAAGGAAAGGACGCGCTCGAGAGGATGTTCACCATGGAGACGTAGCAATGAAATCAGCTTCTGTGCAGGTGCTGGATGGATTGTTGTATCACAAGATCATGAAAGGTGGCGGCAGCTTGGGGAGGCGGTCCTCATCCAGCAGTGGGTACACCATGGCCAATGCTAATGAGGTTACAGTCAATAAGTCAGTGCCTCAATTGCAACATTTATAAAATTTAAAACACTGTATGCTTGTGTGTGAGAAATTACATCAAGCCCTGCAGGTTCGGTGCTCCGTAAGCCTATGGCATAATTAGCATTGAATTCGCGTACTTATAACAGCATTCACAGATAGTGCTTGGCCCCCTTGTGAGAGCATGTTCACTGTTCCTGGTTACAGAACATCAACATTGCCTTTGGCCAGCATATTCTTGGTTCTTTCGGTAAAGTCACATAGAAGGGAAACAATACAATAATAAAAATACGTGACTTTACCGAAAGAACCGAGAATATGAATCCCTGCAGTCACGAAAGCTTTAAATCAAAATTTAGCCAGCATGTCAACTCACCATAGAAACAAGGCTTTATTTGCATTACTTATCCAAATATAAACACTTGACTATATACAATGTAGATCACAGAGAACCTAAAATGTAACCCTCACAGAAGTTACTCTTGAACAAATATCCTTATATATTCTTCATGACTATAATAATTTCTTTATCTATATATCCAGAAGAGCCACACTGATTCGGAGGAAGGTCCTGCATTGGGTTAAAAAAATTTCAGCCAATTCATGAGTATTTATACAAATGGGAGGAAACCGGAGCACCCGGAGAAAACCCACACGTGTGAAGGGGCAACACTCTATCCCCGGTACAGATGGAAACAGATGGAGATTAGTCCACTTTCTATACGGCCTTCTCCTGGCAAGCCAGGATGTGGCACCTTGTCGCCCACGGGAAGGGAGTTTCACAAAATTTGTGTGATCCACCAACCCTCACCGCCACAGTGCTGGATTACAGGCATGTAAAGCCACCACTGTCTGGCTATATTGACTATAGGTGCCGATACCATTCTTTAAAAATGTAACCGCATTCTTTATGCCTACAAGTTTGTCTAAATTGTATGCATAAGTTTTAAGTAACAATGGCACTAAATAATTCTGAGTAAAATTGCAGAACAGTTATTTTTTTAAGTTTTAAATCAGGCAGTGCTCTATATCTCTCTCGAAGCCAAAGGATTCCTGGTTACGGCTTCCCTGGAAACTTGTGCCTGTTCAGCGAGGAAAGCCTCACTGAACCTCTCTTTTTCAGGAGTGTTCTGATTGGGCAGGGTGAGATCTATGTTCTAAATTGCTCTACGATGCACGCAAAAATGTTTAAAAATTATCGCCGTCGTTAGTGAACCAAACAATTCACCCCACGTGGAGCATGAAGCTAAAAGCAACAGGAATCAAAGCCCACTGGCAATTACTAATATCACTATTTGTCTGGAGTAGGCAAATAATAAACACCTGCATGAAAATATTGAAAATAAATGGGTGCTTGCCCTTCAGGTCCACTTGCTTCGTACATCATTTAGAGTCTCGTATTAACTGTGTGATGTTCAAGGGCATCACGTGTCACAGTGGGGACCAATTCCGCCCACAGGCGGCTGCTGCCTTCTGCCCGACCGGGTATATAAACAGCTCAGCGCCATTTGTGCAGATTAAAAGATCCTGCGATATTACTCAGTTTTTTTCTCTTCAGTTTATTTATTTTGGTATAGCCCCGTGAGCCATTCGGCTCTTGAATCGGGTGCAACCACAACAAACAAAAAAACAAAAACACGAACAAGGAAAACATCTTAAAGTGACTATGTGACTGTGCAAACAGAAAATCCATGAAAAAAAACATCAAAATATTCCTGAAAAAAAGCACCGTACACCAACACCGTGTGCAAAAAATCCTAGTGGGATGCAAGTCAAACAACAACAACCACAAGAAAACTTATATTAAGGCCATCAGTCTAACTCCGTACTTCAACAAAACAAACATGTCCAAACCAAAAAATGTTTTCGAAATCACCAAAAAATGAAGCCATAATTGCAACCTAACAGTGATCACAGGGACTGTGATCGAATTTTTACAATAAACTACATAAATAACATGTAACACCAAATCCTAGAGCCATAGCTGGCTGCATGAGTTACTCCACAACAGAAGCATCAGTCGGAGCATTCAACTTTTCAATGCACCTTTAAGATCAGCACGCTAAATCAAAATACAGATAATACTTTGCAGCGTCATCCAGAGCGAAATATTTTATTTTATTTTATGCCAATGAATAGCAGTGGCAGCTAGGGGTGTACAACTCCTCTAGATCAGTTTTGAGTGAAGATCTCATAGGTAGCGATTCAAGTTGCAGTTTATTGGCAATAGCATTCAAGACCCTGGAGGCATCAATAGCAAAGGCCCTTCCTCCAGTTTTTGTACGGCAATAGGGAATGTGAAGCTGATAAATGAGCGAAGACCTGAGGTCAAATTTGTTCTTTGAAACAGAGAGGAGATCCAGCAGGTAGTCTGCGGATTTTTTTGTAAGTACATCGTGAATAAATAAGATCTGGTGCACAAGCCGTCGAACATAAAGAGATGTTAAGTTTGACCCAATGTAGAGATCACAGTGGTGAGTCTTATATGGGCAGTTCAATGTAAATCGTAAGGCCGAGTGATAGATGGAATCAAGCTTCTTCAGTACACTACTTGGGGCTGATTTATACACGTTGTCACAGTAGTCAAGTAGAGGCAGTATGGTAGCTTTTATCAATTCCAAACGGAACATTGGGGGGAAGCAGTGCTTGTGTCGAGACAGAAAACCAATTTTTATTTTTGTCTTTTTACCAATATAATCAATGTAATCTTCAAAATTCAGTTTTGAATCCAGGATGACCCCAAGATACTTATAGATCTTGACTTGCTCTATTTGATAATTATTTAAGGAATGTAATTGGGGAAAAAATAACTTCCTGCTTTAGTCCTGGTGAGAAGCATAGCACCTTGGTTTTGGAGGTATTCAGGACTAGTTTAAGAGCAACTAGCTGATGTTTAGTTTATTGAAATCACCCTGTAGCTTAGCAATCACGTCATCCAGAGAGCGGCCAGTAGTAATCAGTATCGTGTCATCTGCAAAAAAAATTACCCTGGAATGATCCAGGTCAGTGCCCAAGTCATTGACATAAAGAGAGAACAAAAGGGGGCCGAGGATGGAACCATGTGGAACCCCTTTTGTTATCTTAACACTGTTTGACCTCAAACCATCTGTGAATACAGTTTGGGTGCGACAAAAGAGGGAATTTTGTAACCATTTTACTGCGTTTTTGGAAAAACCGAGGCAACTTAGTTTACTAAGCAGGGTGTTGTGGTCTACTGTATCAAAAGCTTTGGACAGGTCTAGAAAAAGACAGGCACAGTACTGCTTATTATCAAGGCTACTGTAAATGTGATTCAGAGAGTCTAATGCAGCAGATGTGGTGCTGTATTTTTTTCAGAACCCAGATTGTTTTAGATGTAGTAGATTGCTGGTGGACAGGAAACTGCTAATTTGGTAGGTCAATAATTAAAAAAAAAATTCATCAACGTTGGTAGTTATTTGGATCATCTTTAGGGCCCCCTTTGTGAAGTGGAAGGACATAGGAATGTTCCATTCTAGAGGAACTGATGCTTCTTTGATGGACAGGTTGAAAATATTGGCTATAGGTTTGTATATTAGGTGACCAACAGTTAGTAGAGCAAAGACGGGAATACTATCTGCTTCGGTAGAGGAGGACCCTTTGAGGTAGGACAGTTGTTTCAGAACATTACTTTCGTGGATTGGCTGGAAACTAAATTTGTTTAATGTTTGGACAGGGGTGTAGGAATTTGCATGAGCAGGGGTGACTCCCAATACATTATCAAAAAGATTACCAGCTTCAGAAAAATGAAGGTTAAAATTGTCAACTATTTTTTTGGGATCTGAAAAATATTCCCCATTTCGGTTAAGCTCAACGGGCAGATTGTCTGTTTTGGATGCCTTTTCGATACATTTGATTGTTTTCCAGAAAATCCTGGCATTTCCATGTGCACTCATCAAGTCGACGAGTTTATCTGCTACTCGTGTCAGCAGAGACGGGTGAGCAGCGCAAGATAACTGGTTGGGTTAGCTCCTTTTATGGAAGTAAAACCAGCTTTGCTAAAATCGACTTTGATTCCTCCTTTACATCTTGTGCAGGCATCAGACGATGGATGATTACCTAAAGTCCACAACCTTGCTTATTGCTTCTCCCCCCCCCCATGCATAAACGTATATTGATTTGCAAATTAAAATCGGCACCCACTAAACATGTATCGATTCTCAATTAAACCACATTGATTCTAGATTTAAAGCTTTCGTGACTGCAAGGATCCATACTCTTTGGTTCTATTCGGTAAAGTCACGTAGGTAAAAAATAAAACAAAAATCACGACGTTTCGGCCACAACACAAGCGGCCATGTACACCACCTCTACACCGTTCATCATGCCAAGTCGGTCAATCAAATGCTAATTTTTATGCTAATTCCACCTTGTTTCCTCGCACACAGCTTAAAGGTCGCGGTCTGAGCATGGCTGTGTTTCACTCCAGCGCTGTCCTCGAGACAGTCTGGTCCCTTCACCTGATGAAGGCCGCTTGTGTTGTGCCCGAAACCGTCGTGATTTTTGTTGTTTTATTTTTTACCTACGTGACTTTACCGAATAGAACCAAAGAGTATAAACCACATTTATTATATGGGCAATCAATCATGTAGGCAAAAAAAACGAACATTTATGAAGATCATATTTTAACTTTAGGCTAATGTAACGGACCGTAATAGAGGGCACATCACAATCGTTTGAGCATTGTGCAGTACAACAATGTATTTCGCCGCACTGCCCTCTCCTGACAAAGTAGGCCCACAACAGCCGAGAGCGCAGGTTGGTGTGCATCCATCCACGCACCATCCAGGGACAAAAATCCTCATTAGCTTCCGAGCTTCCGAGATTGGGCGAATGTCCGGGTGATTTGATCACAGGCATGCGAATACGAGGCAGTACAGTGGTATAACATAGATCATGGAGGCGGCAACCAAAATAACAATACAAGCCATTTTTGTTTTTAGAATTCGGCAAAAAAACTAAATATTTCAAGTGCCGCCGATGCAATGCAAATACGAGACGGCGGTACTGAATACAAAACGTCACGAAGCAGTCCTTAAAAAGAGCCGCACGCGGCTAGGGAGCCGCAGGTTGCCAACCCCCGAAGCCCGAGACGAAAATTTTTTAAAAACCGTTTCCCTACAAACTTGAACAGAAATCGTCGTCGTTATGCACTTGCAGATGGTTGGATCTGGCTCTGGTTGGATCTGGCTCGCACCGCGTGTTTGCCGAGCCCGTGCACTGCTGTGAACCCGCAAGCGTGATGCGGGCGCATCCTGCACAACCCCGCCTCCTCCTCCTCATCCTCCTCATCCCGGGGGAGCCGCTGGCTGCAAGGCGGTCGATTGTTTACCCCAGCAGCACTACTGATGATGATGCTGCTGCTCTCTCGCTGTTACGACGCAGTTGTATGTTGAACGTCTTTCGCAACGTACGGAAGCCAACCGTGCCAAATCCGAGGTGCAGTTGCGGCTGCTGTCTGCATACACACGGGCTCTTATCTTTCACATGCGTATCGCGGCCTGTCCCACACCAGATTCAATCTTAGCTACTGAGAGAGAAAGAGCGCTAGTACAGTCATTGGCTGTTTTGCTTTCTCCATCTTTTCAACGTGTTGTGCTACAAGCTGCTTCGACGGCACAATGCCCGACGTTTTGCTCAACGCGCCTCGAGATCATTCAGCTTCTTCACGAACTGAGAATTGCCGTGAGTTCCTCAATAAGTTCCCGGCTTCTTCGGGAAACGTCGGGCGGCATGCCGGAAGGAAGACAAGGCTTTGAACTTTGTCGTGTGCTCTCCAATGAGGGAGGTCAAACAATACGGCGTTAGTGACGCCACTGACGGCCTCAGAGTCCACTTAAAAGCCATTGCAAGTATCGCGTCACCACAGACACACATTGACGATCTCCCAACTAAAGTAATGCGCAGACCTGTCACTTGAAACCACTTAACACCGTCGTGCAAATAGTTACATGCTTAAATCAAACGCGATGTTAATATGAATTCCGTACAACCAAACACAGATCCCCAGGAATACGCCCGATATCACACCTCGAAAGCTAAGCAAGTTTTGCAGCTGGGGAGTGCGTCGGCAAGCCTCCACCATGATGAACGTTCGCAAGATTTCCACAGGGATGGTGCCGCGTTATGGGCATAAGAGGGTAGTGCAAGCAGACATCCATTGTAATGTACCTATCTATATACATTACCCATGTCTGTGCTCCCTGGGGTCTTTACCAGCGAGGCCCGAATAACCCCAACAACTTCTTTGGTTCTTTCGGTAAAGTCACGTAGAATGAGAATAAAATAATAAAATAAAATAAAATAAGACAATAAAATTCTCACGACGTTTCGGCCACAACACAAGCAGCCTTCATCAGGTGAAAGAACAGAACTGTCGGGACAGTTGTGGCCGAAACGTCGTGATAATTTAATTCTTATTCTATTTGATTTTATTATTTTATTCTCATTCTACGTGAATTTACCGAAAGGACCAAAGAAGATGAATCCTTGCAGTCACGAAAGCTTTAAATCGACATTTAACCCCAACAAGTTCACCGATCCAGCAGTGGACACTGCATACCCGTCAAACCCTTATCCGTGCCCTACCTTATTACAGACCAATTCAAACCTTATTGGTCATCCCGCGCCCTTATACATCTCAACGTTCATCCTACAAAGTCCCGTCGCAAGGGAGAAACACAACACAAATAGACAGTTAGACTTTGTCAAGGCGCTTGGTCTTTTTCTTCTCACACAGCTTAAAGGTCGTGATCGAAGCGTGGCTTCTTCCACTCCAGCGCTGTCCTCCAGACAGTCTCGTCCCTTCACCTGATGAAGGCCGCTTGTGTTGTGGCCGAACGTCGTGATTTTTTGTTATTTTATTTTCACCTACGTGACTTTACCCAATAGAACCAAAGAGTATGGATCCTAGCAGTCACGAAAGCTTTAAATCTAAAACAAATAGACAGTTGTTTCTGCCCGTATTGAAACGGTTGCACGCCGTATGGACCTAAACACTCAACTTTCCTGTACAAGAACACGGGTCAACCCGTACGGGTTGACAGTTATGGGACAGGTTCCAAAGGGCTGCTTGCTGTACGTGTAAACACAACAGCCGCAACGAGTTGGGGTTTTTTTTTGTTTTAAAAAAATAACCTTTGTGGTTTCACGGCGAGCAGCGGGCAGCCCCTTCTCTCCGCTGTGTGCGCCACTTCTCAAATTGGGCCCCCGCCCGCGTGACCCACCACCGAGCGGAAGAGTTTCCACAAACGCCGCGTGTGGGTGCGGAAATCAACACTGCTGTGTGGGGTGCCCACACGGCCACCAACGCCACACGCTCACCGGAGGAGACCGCCCCACCACCACCCCACCACCACCGCCCCACTACCACCACCCCACCACCATCCCATCACCAGCGATGCGCACAGCCCTGGTAATGTGCACGAGCACTGATTGGAAACGAGTTGCGTTATAAAAGGCGCGTCCAAGTTTGGCCACCGCCATTGCTCAGATTTGTACTCGCATTGTTCGAGTATTATGTTTCATCACATGCGTGGGGACGCTTTCAGCCAGCAGTGGATTGACAATGGGCCGCACTGTTCTACGGAGTCAATTGTTGCGTGGGGTTGCCAGCCCGGGCTATCAATGTGCACCGCGCCACCTCCCCGGCTTGCACAACCCTGTCTGGGGGGGGTAGGGGGAGACGATGGGGGGGGGGGGTGTACTCTCTCGTTGTGTGTGGTGTTGGGGACGTGATGACAGAACTCCCAAAGCCTGCACCCCCATCACGCACACACTGGGACCGCGGTGTCCACTGCCGTGTCGGTCGGGACTCCGTGTCCCCGCGTCTCGGAAACTTTCCGAGGCGGTGAACACCTATATACCCTACGCCGCTTATAGGACGTGCTCTATCATTGCAGAGAGGGGGGGGCGGGCGGGTATGACTCAGGCAGAGCCCAACCACAAAGTACCAAAGTATAATCCAGTGGCAACGAGAGATTACACAACGACAACTAAATGGCGGCGACACCACAGAGCTTGTGCCAGGCTAGGTGCACCTTGAGGCCATCACGTGCAGTGTGGGAAGGTTCTCTGCTGGCAGGAACATGGGACATAACCCAGGCTTTTTTAGGATTTGACCGAGATTACTGGCAGATTCACCACCTGTGCTCGCTACCGTGCCCAATAATCACCACGGCGCGCACAATAACAACACGCCACACACACGCACAATAACAACACGCCACACACACGCACAATAACAACACGCCACACACACACACGACAGAATTGGGTCAACACGGGAGCAGCAGCAGAGGCGGTAGTTATAAACGCGGCGGACGAGTGGCTCGCGATGTTCGTGGCGGCGTGTCTATCTCTCTCTCTCTGTCTCTCTCTGGTTGCGGTGCTCACACGAAGCGAGTGTCCCCCCTCTCTCCTCCTGAGGGGCCGGGAAGACGACGACGCCGCCACTTTTGGTAACCAAAAGTTCGTCTCGGGGCGCGTCATTTTGGAGAGCTGGTGACGTCGCTCTCTTGACACGCATCGCGATATCGACTGACTTTACCACGCACTTTTAATGACAACTCGTTACGGAGAACAATCAGGGAGCGACGAGACGGATGATGATGATGATGTGCATGATGATGCTGCTGCTGCTGCTTCGAGAGAGAGAGAGAAGAGCCAGCGGAGCCGACATCGCGGCTCCAACGACGGCGACGCGGAGCTTGTAACGACGCGAGACAGTCGCGGGGGGAGGGGGGTGGGAGAAGCGACGCGAACTCCCCGATCACGGTGGCGACGCAAGCTCGGCGCGAGCGCGGCTTAGCAAGCGCCGCCTCGAACGCAGGCGGACAGACGAAGCCGGGGGACAGTGAGGGAGCGCGGAGGAGAGGCGCCACGGACCCTACCTCTGGCGTGCGGGTGGCGCCGAGCGGGGCCTCCCTCACAACCCCGCCAGTGCGCACGCGCGCGGCCACAGCCCCTCCCCCCGAACCCCCCTTCCCCGTGAGCCCCGCCCCTCCCGTCCCGCCCCTCCCGTCCCGCCCCATTGGAGCCCCGCCCCTCCCGTCCCGCCCCATGCTGAGCCCCGCCCCTTCCTACCCCGCCCCATTCGAGCCCCGCCCACCCCCCCGCCGCGCGCCATCCACCCACTCCTCACAACCCTATTGGTCGTGGGGGCGTGCGCCCCTCGGTCCAATGGCGACGCTACTCCGTGAGCAACCCCCCACGTGTGTCGCTACAGCCAATGAGGAGGAATGGCGATGGGGGGCGGGGGGTTGGATGCGAGACGCTTCCGTGTGAGGGCGGGAGGGGCGGGGGGGCGGTGCGGGGGAAGGGGGAGGGGCGTGAGGGGGAGGGGTGCGGGGGAAGGGGGAGGGGCGCGAGGGGGAGGGGTGCGGGGGGCATGATGCACGTGCGGGGAGGTGGGGGTCATCTCAGTCGACCCCGTGGCACCTGCTGGGTCTGCCACGTGACCTCCTGCCAGCAGGCGTTCGATACTTCACGTGGCCTCAAGGTGCACATGGCCTGGCACGAGCGTCGTGGTGACGTCCCCGCCACTTAGAGGCGAATGGCGGTTGTTGTTGGGGTGGATGGGTTGCCACCTGTCCGGGGTTTGAGTCGGAACAATTCGGAGGTTGGCATTTGTGTTCGGGTGGCGGGGGTTTCATTTGTGCCGAGGTCTGGTGCCTTTGCGTTGAAGTTTATTGCAGAATACTGCACAGTTCTGATATACCTCGTCTGACTGAGAAATATGTCCAGGTTAGGAATGTGGAGGTGAGGTTGAGTGAGTGCAAAGAGGTGGAGGTGAGTGAGGGGAGTGGGTTTGCCAATTCTGGCAAATCGCCTGATGACGCGAGTTGTAATAACCAGCAAAACGTCGTCCTCAAATGGTTAATGTTGTGAGTTTACTCTCCAACACACCGGTGTTCTGAAATAGTAACGAATGAGCACGGTTTTTTTCAACGTGACAAACTTTACTAATTGGCTGCGTTGTTTGGTGGTGGGTTAACGACGCATTTATATTTACGCGATCGAACCCAAAACAAACTTTATAAAGGGGATTTACAGGGGTTACTGTAAATCTCCCATTGAGCAAAACAACTCAGTGCACCCGTAATGAACACTGTGGCCCTAAATTAAGTAAATATATAATAGGCGACGTCTCTGGCAATGGCCTGATACTGGATCAACACACTCCAGTGGTGACAGGACACAAAAAGGACAACTGCGCAATAGAGTCCATTACAACAAAAGTATTCCTCAATGTAAATAAAATATAAGTAAATGTGTGAAATATTGTTTTGCAGGGTTTGTAGCGGAGTATCAGACTGCATTACACGATTGCACCGCTGGCTTCCGGCTTTTCTCTTGGCGTCCAACTTCTGGGTACTTAAATGCCCATTTATTGGCAGCCCTAGCTAGAGGAGTGAACCATACTGTGAGGGAAAAAGTGTTTGATCCCCTGCTGATTTTGCATGTTAGCCCACTGACGAAGAAATGATCATATTTTTGGTTATTTCGGTAAAGTCACCACGTAGAAGGGAAACAATAAAATAAAATATTGTTTCCCTTCTACGTGACTTTTCCGCAAGAACCAAGAATATGAATCCCTGCAGTCACGAAAGCTTTAAATAAAAAAAAGAAATGATCAGTCTATAACTTTAATGGTAAGTTTATTTGAACAGTGAGAGACAGAATAACAACAAGAAAATCGAGAAAAACGCATGTCAAAAATGTTATAAATTGATTTGCATTTTAATGAGGGAAATAAGTATTTGACCCCCTCTCAATCAGAAAGATTTCTGGCTCCCAGGTGTATTTTATACAGGTAACGAGCTGAGATTAGGAGCACACTCTTAAAGGGAGTGCTCCTAATCTCAGCTTGTGACCTGAATAAAAGACACCTGTCCACAGAAGCAATCAATCAGATTCCAAACTCTCCACCATGGCCAAGACCAAAGAGCTCTCCAAGGATGTCAGGGACAAGATTGTAGACATACACAAGGCTGGAATGGGCTACAAGACCATTGCCAAGCAGCTTGGTGAGAAGGTGACAACAGTTGGTGCGATTATTCACAAATGGAAGAAACACAAAAGAACTGTCAATCTCCCTCGGCCTGGGGTTCCATGCAAGATCTCACCTCGTGGAGTTGCAATGATCATGAGAACGGTGAGGAATCAGCTCAGAACTACACGGGAGGATCTTGTCAATGATCTCAAGGCGGTTGGGACCACAGTCACCAAGAAAACAATTGGTAACACACTACGCCATGAAGGACTGAAATCCTGCAGCGTCCGCAAGGTCCCCCTGCTCAAGAAAGCACATATACATGCCCGTCTGAAGTTTGCCAATGAACATCTGAATGATTCAGAGGACAACTGGGTGAAAGTGTTGTGGTCAGATGAGACCAAAATGTAGCTCTTTGGCATCAACTCAACTCGCCGTGTTTGGAAGAGGAATGTTGCATATGACCCCAAGAATACCATCCCCACCGTCAAACATGGAGGTGGAAACATTGTACCATCAAATCTTGGGTGAGAACCTCCTTCCCTCAGCCAGGGAATTGAAAATGGGTCGTGGATGGGTATTCCAGCATGACAATGACCCAAAACACACGGCCAAGGCAACAAAGGAGTGGCTCAAGAATAATCACATTAAGGTCCTGGAGTGGCCTAGCCAGTCTCCAGACCTTAATCCCATAGAAAATCTGTGGAGGGAGCTGAGGTTCGAGTTGCCAAACGTCAGCCTCGAAGCCTTAATGACTTGGAGAAGATCTGCAAAGAGTGGGACAAAATCCCTCCTGAGATGTGTGCAAACCTGGTGGCCAACTACAAGAAACGTCTGACCTCTGTGATTGCCAACAAGGGTTTTGCCACCAAGTATTAAGTCATGTTTTGCAGAGGGGTCAAATAATTATTTCCCTCATTAAAATGCAAATCAATTTATAAATTTTTTGACATGGGTTTTTCTGGATTTTTTGTTATTCTGTCTCTCACTGTTCAAATAAACCTACCATTAAAAATATGCACTCATCATTTCTTTGTCAGTGGACAAACGTACAAAATCAGCAGGGGATCAAATACTTTTTTCCCTAACTGTAAGAGCACCGATGATATAGCGGGAGAAAACAAACGTGAGAAACTAGCCGAGGGAAGTGCGACTCATGCAGAGAAACGGAGAGACAAAGATCCTTCCTGGCTAAATCTTGCCAGTATCAAGATGATAAAAAGAATAGGCTTTCACCTTTTCGGCAAGAATATAGGTATTAAGATGTCCAAACACCAAATCGACATATGTTACAAGGCATCATTATGAGCTGTTATCTTTTTTGTGTTGATACCATATTGGCAAAGAGTGTCCCATAGATTTAACTGCTCGACCCAAGCTAGTAATGCTCTGATATTTCCATTGTCTTTGTGTTATTCGCTTTTTGGTGTTCTTTGATCGAACACTGGCAAGACAAACCCATAAAGGAGACAAATCTATGGTGTAAGCCTATCAGTTTCAAGGACAATGCATACATTACCAAAGCATGTTTGTGTGCATGTTTTGCCACAAACATGCGTGGTTCACGCAGACTTGATGCTTTGTGATAGGTATCCCTTAGGTGTTTGAGCGTTATTTCCAGAAAGGGTAAAGCCTATTCTTTTCTTGTATCATCCTTCCCGTTGTGCAATGTTTGATAAACACCCAGGGCACAAAGGGTATTTTGCCCTTTTTCTATCCTGCACATGTGTCCCACTCATTACAACCTTGTCTTTGTCACTGCAATGTTTTTTTCGTGGAGGATGACACCTTGTCCCGGGTGCCAATAATATCTATAGCTATGGCTCTGATACCCACTGCGCGGGAGATGATGCCCCCAACACATAACACAATGTCTCTCCACACAGAAAACAATACACCGCTGCCTAGAATTCGGTGTCCACGCTTCACAGAATGCGACTGCCGCTGCAAAATACAACACTGGACCACCTTTAGCACACACGCAACGTTGTATGAGAACACAGTGGATAGACAATACTGACACTTTCTTGGGTCACCCAATCAAGTGTGGCTCACATGCCAAGCGATCATATGTCCAAGGAGCTCATATTTAGCCTGAAATGGGAGACTAAACGGATATGAATCAGGCGACAGAAGCATTGGACTGATTTAGTACTTGTAGCTGAGTGTATGAACTAATTAAAGAATGTCGGGCAGCTAAAACACAGCGATTTGACACAGTAGGGAGTGCAGGTGGTGCATATCTACCCGTTAGTCAACCTATGTCACCTGGGTCTATCCCATAACCTATTGTCCACAAGGCCTTCATGTTGCCCCAATGTGCACGTGGCTCAGCACAGTTGTTTTGATTGTCACATTTGAATTCAGCACATTAAAATCCAAAATAAACAGCGCATTTCATCTCTGAAGGAGACAACGTCTAAAATGTTGTAGGCCAGTGAATAATTGGTGGGTTTAATACATTTATTTTACGAGATTGAACCCAAAAAAGCCTCATGGGCATCAGTCGCGAAAGCCTACGTGTTAAACATTGTATAACTGCTCAGCCCGAGCCATATTAACACTGGTATTTGCACTGCCCTTGTACCGGTGTCGTTCTCTTGTCTCCTAACACCGGTGCAGAGACAGGGCCGTGAAGGCTCCCGCCCGTGTGACTCCTAGCGTGCCTCTTCAAGGTGCAGGCCTGAGTAAACCCTTTCCCGCACTCCTGGCACACGTAAGGCCTCTCGCCCGTGTGCGTCCTCGCGTGCCTCTTCACGGTGGAGGCCTGGTTAAACGCTTTCCCGCACTCCTGGCACACGTAAGGCCTCTCGCCCGTGTGCATCCTCGCGTGTAAGTGCAGTTTGTAGGCGGTCGCGAACCGCTTACCGCACTCAAGGCACACGTGCGGCTTCTCGCCCGTGTGCGTCTTGGAGTGCCTCGCCAGGTTGAAGTGCCGGGGGAAGCGCTTCCCGCACTCCTGGCACACGTGCCGCTTGTCGCCGGGGGCACTCGCCGTCTTTTCGTCTCCTGCCAAGGCACGAACGGGCGGGATGGGCGGTGAGCGGGGGGAGCGTTGTCCAGGCACATTGTGCCCGCACGTGGCTTTCCATCAGCGTTGACCTGAAGTTTCAATTATATAATAGAGGGTTTGTGTTTGTGTCGTTAAGGATATACAATTTTTGTATTTTATGTAAAAAAAAACCCGTGGTGGATGACATCACAAAGCAGTCCTTAAAGGGCCTCAATGCACGTGGTGAATGATGTCACAAAGCAGTCCTTAAAGAGCCTCAATACACGTGGTGGATGACGTCACAAAGCAGTCCATAAAGCACCTCAATGCACGTGGTGAATGACGTCACAAAGCAGTCCTTAAAGAGCCTCAATGCACGTGGTGAATGATGTCACAAAGCAGTCCTTAAAGAGCCTCAATACACGTGCTGAATGATGTCACAAAGCAGTCCTTAAAGGGCCTCAATACACGTGGTGAATGTCACAAAGAAGTCCTTAAAGAGCCTCAATGCACGTGGTGAATGACGTCACAAAGAAGTCCTTAAAGAGCCTCAATGCACGTGGTGGATGACGTCACAAAGAAGTCCTTATAGAGCCTCAATGCACGTGGTGGATGACGTCACAAAGAAGTCCTTAAAGAGCCTCAATGCACGTGGTGGATGACGTCACAAAGAAGTCCTTAAAGAGATTCAATGCATGTGGTGAATGACGTCACAAAGCAGTCCTTAAAGAGCCTCAATGCACGTGGTGGATGACGTCACAAAGAAGTCCTTAAAGAGCCTCAATGCACGTGGTGGATGACGTCACAAAGAAGTCCTTAAAGAACCTAAATGCACGTGGTGAATGATGTCACAAAGCAGTCCTTAAAGAGCCTCAATGCACGTGGTAGATGACGTCACAAAGAAGTCCTTAAAGAGCCTCAATGCACGTGGTGGATGACGTCACAAAGAAGTCCTTAAAGAGCCTAAATGCACCTGGTGAATGATGACACAAAGCAGTCCTTAAAGAGCCTCAATGCACGTGGTGGATGACGTCACAAAGCAGTCCTTAAAGAGCCTCAATACACGTGATGAATGATGTCACAAAGTAGTCCTTAAAGAGCCTCAATGCACGTGGTGGATGATGTCGCAAAGCAGTCCTTAAAGAGCCTCAATGCACGTGGTGGATGATGTCACAAAGCAGTCCTTAAAGAGCCTCAATGCACTTGGTGGATGACGTCACAAAGCAGTCCTTAAAGAGCCTTAATGCATGTGGTGGATGATGTCACAAAGCAGTCCTGAAAGAGCCTCAATGCACATGGTGGATGACGTCACAAAGCAGTCCTTAAAGAGCCTCAATGCACGTGGTGAATGACGTCACAAAGAAGTCCTTAAAGAGCCTCAATGCACGTGGTGGATGACGTCACAAAGAAGTCCTTAAAGAGCCTCAATGCACGTGGTGAATGACGTCACAAAGCAGTCCTTAAAAACTACTTTTCTAGGTGAGATTTTACCATTCCCCGCCCACCCTACACGATGCTAACTCGTACAAGGAACGTAACAACCTGCATTGTCTTGAAAACGAGGTCTTCACTAACGGTGGGCCTCACACACTAAACTAAAAACTTTAAACAAATTTGTTTTATTTCACCTGGTGTAAGGCCCCACTGAGCTGCTGTTTAGCCCCTTTTTTAGGAGCGATCCCGGCCATCACAAATGACAGCTCAACTAAGTGGCTTATCATCATCGTCGTCATTATTATCACGCGAACATTTATAGCAGCAGCCCAAAGGCTCTAAAACGTGTAGTTGATGTTGATTCTAAAACTAGAGAGAAAGAGCAGAGGACCCGGAGGAAATATCCACGTGACCACGGGCAGAGAGACGCCAAGTCCAAATATACAGCAAGTATCAGGGTCGGAATCGAAGCCACGACCTCCTGCGTACCAGGCGAGGTAGTCAACATCTCGTTGCGTATTCTCCGTGGGCCAAGGGCACTCACCTTGACCGATGTTCCGCTGCAAGCGCTCCGCATCCCCTGGCCAAACCCTGGCTCCCTAACTTTGAATCATCAACAGGACCTGAGCTGTAATTTGCATGAGAAGAAATGACATTCGTTCAATGATAAATGGGAGGTCTAATCAACAAAACAAAAATCTAAACATTTTGATTTAAAGCTTTCGTGACTGCAGTAATTCATATTCGTAGCTCTTTCGGTAAAGTCACGTTGAAGGGAAACAATAAAATAATAAAATATATATAAAACAATAAAAAATTTCACGACGTTTCGACCATAACACAAATGGTCAGGTGTGATGATGACCGTTTGTGTTATGGTTGAAACGTTGCGAGAATTTTTAATGTTTTATATATATTTTATTGTTTCCCTTCAACGTGACTTTACCGAAAGAGCTAAGAATATCTAAACATTTGTTTCACTTTACTAAGGGCCACTGAGCTGCTGTGTATCTATTCTTCAGAAGCGACCCGCCCATCACAGATGCCAGCTCAACTCAGTGGCTCATCGCCATCATCACGTGCAAAACACGTATAGCAGCGGGCAAACACTGTAAACGCGCAACGTTGGATTTAAATCTGGAGGGAAGAATCCGGGTACCCGTGACAAATATCTACACAACCACGGTGAGAGAAACACGCAAACTCCAAATATATAGCGGCAGCAGGCAGTGGCAGGGTCGTGAATCGAACCCACGACCTCCTGTACACCCAGCGAGGTCGTCAACATCTCCTAGCCACCGTGGTGCTGACCAGCATCGATGTCTTGCATTCTCTTAGTGGAGTCTGGGCACGTCCTTGCATTCTTGTCCATTTCTCATTTGACGAATGGCAACTAAATGTGAGAAGCCAAACTGGCGGGTGGAAGCAAAGAGAAACGACAACAGCAGTGCATACTGAATGTGCTGGTAGCTGGTATGATTACAGCAGTGCATACAGTGGTGGTACCTGCTTTAGCTACTGCAGTTTCATACGGACTTTGGTACCTGCTTTCACTACAGCAGTGCATAGTGACTTTGGTGGTCCGTGTTATTATTACAGCAGTGCATATTGTGGTGGTACCTGCTATGAGTAGAGTAGTACATGCTGACTCTTTAGCAGTATTTATAGACTCTACAGTAATACATGCTGACTCCATAGCAGTAGGTATAGACGCTACAGTGGTACATGGTGACTCTATAGAAGTAGATATCGAGTCTACAGTGGTACATGCTGACTCTATAGCAGTAGATATCGACTCTACAGTGGTACATGGTGACGCTATAACAGTAGATATCGAGTCTACAGTGGTACATGCTGAATCTATAGCAGTAGATATCGACTGTACAGTAGTACATGCTGACTCTATAGCAGTAGATATCGACTCTACAGTAGTAGATGCTGAATCTATAGCAGTAGATATCGACTCTACAGTAGTACATGGTGACTCTATAGCAGTAGATATCGACTGTACAGTAGTACATGGTGACTATAGCAGTAGATATCGACTCTACAGTGATACATGCTGACTCTATAGCAGTAGATATCGACTCTACAGTGGTACATGCTGACTCTATAGCAGTAGATATCGACTCTACAGTAGTACATGCTGACTCTATAGCAGTAGATATCGACTCTACAGTAGTACATGCTGACTCTATAGCAGTAGATATCGAGTCTACAGTAGTACTTGGTGACTCTATAACAGTAGATATCGACTCTACAGTAGTACATGGTGACTCTACAGCAGTAGATATCGACTCTACAGTAGTACATGCTGACTCTATAGCAGTATTTATCGACTCTACAGTAGTACATACTGACTCTATAGCAGTAGATATCGACTCTACAGCAGTACATGCTGACTCTATAGCAGTAGATATCGGCTCTACAGAAGTACATGCTGACTCTATAGCAGTAGATATCGACTCTACAGTGGTACATGCTGACTCTATAGCAGTAAATATCAACTCTACAGTAGTACATGGTGACGCTATAGCAGTAGATATCGACTCTACAGTGGTGCATGCTGACTCTATAGCAGTAGATATCGACTCTACAGTGGTACATGCTGACTCTATAGCAGTAGATATCGACTCTACAGTGGTACATGATGACTCTATAGCAGTATATATCGGCTCTACAGTAGTACATGCTGACTATAGCAGTAGATATCGACTCTACAGTAGTACATGTTGACTCTATAACAGTAGATATTGACTCTACAGTGGTACATGGTGACTCTATAACAGTAGATATCGACTCTACAGTAGTACATGCTGCATCTATAGCAGTAGATATCGACTCTACAGTAGTACATGGTGACTCTATAGCAGTAGATATCGACTCTACAGTAGTACATACTGACACTATAGCAGTAGATATCGACTCTACAGTAGTACATGCTGACTCTATAGCAGTAGATATCGACACTACAGTGGTACATGCTGACTCTATAGCAGTAGATATCGACTCTACAGTGGTACATGCTGACTCTATAGGAGTAGATATAGACTCTACAGTAGTACATGCTGACTCTATAGCAGTATATAAAGACTCTACATTAGTACATGCTGACCGTATAGCAGTAGATATCGACTCTACAGTGGTACATGCTGACTCTATAGCAGTAGATATCGACTCTACAGTGGTACATGCTGACTCTATAGCAGTAGATATCGACTCTACAGTGGTACATGGTGACTCTATAGCAGTATATATCGACTCTACAATAGTACATGCTGACTCTATAGCAGTAGATATCGACTCCACAGTGGTATATGCTGACTCTATAGCAGTAGATATCGACTCTACAGTAGTACATGCCGATTCTATAGCAGTAGATATCGACTCTACAGTAGTACATGCTGACTCTATAGCAGTAGATATCGACTCTACAGTAGTACATGCTGACTCTATAGCAGTAGATATCGACTCTACAGTGGTACATGCTGACTCTATAGCAGTAGATATCGACTCTACAGTGGTACATGCTGACTCTATAGCAGTAGATATCGACTCTACAGTGGTACATGCTGACTCTATAGCAGTAGATATCGACTCTACAGTGGTGCATGCTGACTCTATAGCAGTAGATATCGACTCTACAGTAGTACATGCTGACTCTATAGCAGTAGATATCGACTCTACAGTGGTACATGCTGACTCTATAGCAGTAGATATCGACTCTACAGTGGTGCATGCTGACTCTATAGCAGTAGATATCAACTCTACAGTGGTACATGCTGACTCTATAGCAGTAGATATCGACTCTACAGTAGTACATGCTAACTCTATAGCAGTAGATATTGACTCTACAGTAGTACATGGTGACTCTATAGCAGTAGAAATCGACTCCACAGTGGTACATGCTGACTCTATAGCAGTAGATATCGACTCTACAGTAGTACATGGTGACTCTATAGCAGTAGATATCGACTCTACAGTGGTACATGCTGACTCTATAGCAGAAGATATCGACTCTACAGTGGTACATGCTGACTCTATAGCAGTAGATATCGACTCTACAGTAGTACATGCTGACTCTATAACAGTAGATATCGACTCTACAGTAGTACATGCTGACTCTATAGCAGTAGATATCGAGTCTACAGTAGTACTTGGTGACTCTATAACAGTAGATATCGACTCTACAGTAGTACATGGTGACTCTATAGCAGTAGATATCGACTCTACAGTAGTACATGCTGACTCTATAGCAGTAGATATCGACTCTACAGTGGTACATGCTGACTCTAAGCAGTAGATATCGACTCTACAGTAGTTTATGGTGACTCCATAGCAGTAAATATCGACTCTACAGTAGTACATGCTGACTCTATAGCAGTAGATATCGACTCTACAGTAGTATATGCTGACTCTATAGCAGTAGATAACGACTCTACAGTAGTGCATGCTGACTCTATAGCAGTAGATATCGACTCTACAGTAGAATATGCTGAATCTATAGCAGTAGATAACGACTCTACAGTAGTGCATGCTGACTCTATAGCAGTAGATATCGACTCTACAGTAGTACATGCTGACTCTATAGCAGTAGATATCGACTCTACATTAGTACATGCTGACTCTATAGCAGTAAATATCGACTCTACAGTAGTACATGGTGACTCTATAGCAGTAGATATCGACTCTACAGTGGTGCATGCTGACTCTATAGCAGTAGATATCGACTCTACAGTGGTACATGCTGACTCTATAGCAGTAGATATCGACTCTACAGTGGTACATGATGACTCTATAGCAGTATATCTCGGCTCTACAGTAGTACATGCTGACTATAGCAGTAGATATCGACTCTACAGTAGTACATGTTGTCTCTATAACAGTAGATATTGACTCTACAGTGGTACATGGTGACTCTATAGCAGTAGATATCGACTCTACAGTAGTACATGCTGCCTCTATAGCAGTAGATATCGACTCTACAGTAGTACATGGTGACTCTATAGCAGTAGATATCGACTCTACAGTAGTACATACTGACACTATAGCAGTAGATATGGACTCTACAGTAGTACATGCTGACAATATAGCAGTAGATATCGACTCTACAGTAGTACATGCTGACTCTATAGCAGTAGATATCGACTCTACAGTTGTACATGCTGACTCTATAGCAGTAGATATCGACTCTACAGTGGTACATGCTGACTCTATAGCAGTAGATATAGACTCTACAGTAGTACATGCTGACTCTATAGCAGTAGATATCGACTCTACATTAGTACATGCTGACCGTATAGCAGTAGATATCGACTCTACAGTGGTACATGCTGACTCTATAGCAGTAGATATCGCGTCTACAGTGGTACATGCTGACTCTAAGCAGTAGATATCGACTCTACAGTAGTACATGGTGACTCTATAGCAGTAGATATCGACTCTACAGTAGTACATGCTGACTCTATAGCAGTAGATATCGACTCTACAGTGGTACATGCTGACTCTATAGCAGTAGATATGGACTCTACAGTGGTACATGCTGACTCTATAGCAGTAGATATCGACTCTACAGTGGTACATGCTGACTCTATAGCAGTATATATCGACTCTACAGTGGTGCATGCTGACTCTATAGCAGTAGATATCGACTCTACAGTAGTACATGCTGACTCTATAGCAGTAGATATCGACTCTACAGTGGTACATGCTGACTATATAGCAGTAGATATCGACTCTACAGTGGTGCATGCTGACTCTATAGCAGTAGATATCAACTCTACAGTGGTACATGCTGACTCTATAGCAGTAGATATCGACTCTACAGTAGTACATGCTGACTCTATAGCAGTAGATATTGACTCTACAGTAGTACATGGTGACTCTATAGCAGTAGAAATCGACTCCACAGTGGTACATGCTGACTCTATAGCAGTAGATATCGACTCTACAGTAGTACATGGTGACTCTATAGCAGTAGATATCGACTCTACAGTAGTACATGGTGACTCTATAGCAGTAGATATCGACTCTACAGTGGTACATGCTGACTCTATAGCAGTAGATATCGACTCTACAGTGGTACATGCTGACTCTATAGCAGTAGATATCGACTCTACAGTAGTACATGCTGACTCTATAACCGTAGATATCGACTCTACAGTAGTACATGCTGACTCTATAGCAGTAGATATCGAGTCTACAGTACTACTTGGTGACTCTATAACAGTAGATATCGACTCTACAGTAGTACATGGTGACTCTATAGCAGTAGATATCGACTCTACAGTAGTACATGCTGACTCTATAGCAGTAGATATCGACTCTACAGTGGTACATGCTGACTCTAAGCAGTAGATATCGACTCTACAG